CATTGATAAGCAAAAAGTGAAATGATTTTCTGCTTGGCATTCAACTGTTTAAGTCTCCGAACTTGAAAAGATAATCTGCGAATTTTCTGTACATTTATCAAATGTAACTCCTAGGTACTTCACAGAATCTACTCTAGTTAGGAGATCTGTGTTTATGACAGACGGATCACAAGGATAAACAGATCGAGAAAGGGAGAAAGTGCATTCGAAGCACTTGACTAGATTAAGAGACAGTCCAGAACGAACGGAAAGTTCATGAATAAGCGATAGATTATTCGAGAAATGTGAAAGGTCCTCAGGCAAAGAAATGACTTGACAGAGGGCTACGTAATCAGCATATTTAAATAACCGGGCTGTAGAAATCGCAGACAGATCACTGATGTAGATGGAAAAAAGAATGGAGACAATACAGCACCATGTAGCACTCCCAAATTGTTCACGAGTGGTTTAGACATTTACCTACCTAGCCGAGTATGCTGAGTTCTGCTTGTGAAGTAGTCAACGAGCCACGCCAGTAGTTTCTTAGGACAACCAGTTTACGAAAGAGGAGGGAACGTGGAACAGAGTCAAAAGCTGATAGAAAATCTAAGAAAACACATCTTACAGATTTCGCTGATGCTCCTAAGGATTTGGGAACGTGATAAACGAGTTACGCAAAAGCATCCAAAAAGGACCTGTTTGATTTATAAGCAATTTGGAGAGGGTCTTCAGGGGTACAGAAGAAAGCAGAAAAGCGTTTGAGAATGGCACGTTCTGCCAATTTAAGACTGCATGAAGTTCGGGCAATGGAACGGAAACATTTGGACAGTGCTGGATCCAAGTGGTTTAGGAATGGGAATGATCGTGACGGGTCTCCAGCAATCGGGAATAGAATACGAACTAAGTGACGTGTTGAGGATAGAAGTAAAAGCATCCGTTAGAGCCAGGGCACCATGCTTTGGAAGGGATGAAGATAAACCGCCAGGACCAATACCAGTGGATGATTTAGTTATACGAAAGGAGTTTAAATATTTCTTCTCTCGGGAAGCGGGTTATATTATCAGCGTCTTCCAGAATCCATGAAACGGGAGGATCACTACTCGGACGTATAAATGCCCTATTTATACTCTCAACGTCCACAGTACATATAGTTGGTTTGGATTTCGCTCCATATAGGATCCGAATTTATTTCCATTAATGTCTTCTGTTTTGGCTGCATAGGAGTTCATTCCCATAAGGCGAAGTCGATACGTTTATTTTAGTTTTTTTATCAATATAACTGACCATTGATGAATTCCCGGATTTGTAGAAATGTTCCTCATGTCTGCTCAGTGTTTTGAATTTAGGAGATGCAATACGGCCATCGAAGAGAAATAGCGTTTCCACCGGGCAACAGATGTCAAAGATGGAATTTACTATACCAACAAAGATTGTTGCTCAATGAAGACTCAAAAGGGAAACCAGGAAACTACATGGGACAGAGCTCCTTGAAGGAGAAAAATACACTCAAGTGATGTGTTTCGAAGACGGACTTTGATTTGGTTGCTATGCCTGAACGAAGGCAGAACGGGAAAATCTTCCGTATGAGAAGGAAAAGACAATGATCGCTGATACGGGCGCATGGAGATGGAAAGAGAAGAACTCGGGATGATTTGTTAGAATTCTGTCTAAAACGGAGTTACCTCTGGTCGGTAAAACGCAAAAATCGATTAAATCAAAAGCAGTGAAAAGCATTATTTAATCAGCTTCTGCTCTGAGTCCGTTCTGTTAAGGTTAGCTCTCTTACAGTCAACAAACCAGCGGAGGGTGAACTCAGTGAAGCATATTTGAAACAGGCTTTAAGACAGTTTTTCCATACGATGACTCTAGAAGATGCGAATCGGAAGCTTGTGGTGATTTACGTGTATACATATTCAAATTCATGAGTGACTTACTGATCACTCAACAGCTGAAAAGAGAAATATGCGAATGGGGAAGATGAGTCGTGGATGTGCGGGGTGAGATATAGACAGCGGTGATGGTGGTCCGGTGGTTTAGTCCCTGTCACCGGCGTGCATTGGATCATATTGTCCGAGGTTGAAGCCTCGCCACCGCCAAACACCTTTGGTGGTAGGTATCTTCGTTGCCATCGGGTTCACTACCACGCCTAACCTACTGCAGCCTTATGTGGGCAACTTACCGGGTCTCAAAGAAGAACTATCGATTTCTACATTCATTACGCGTCCTGTGGCCAGCAACTCCGGTGGTATATTTCTGGTTAGATTTTTGTGTTATGCATGCCAAATTGGTGATGTCCTATATAAAATCCTCAAT